AAAGATGGCAAATAAAGATATTGGTAGAAAATAATCAAATAAGTATTTTAATTTAAAAAAAAATAGAAACATAAAAATAATATTACAAACAAAATTCTAGAAAAAAATAAAAATATACAAATAAAAAAGAAAGAATAAAAAGGCTAACTACAGATAGTAAAGATTTCAGTACTTTAAAATTATATTATAAAAATGTTACTAAATATGAATGCCTAAGAAATACATGAGAAATACAAATATATCAAAATTGGCCCAAGAAAAACTTAAAAATGTTGAATAGAGTAATAGCTACTATAAAAGTTATTTAAATTCTTCCTCCACAAAGGCACAGATGGTTTTATAGTTGAGTAATGACAAACTTTCAGGGAACAGTAATTTCTACCTTATGCAAGTCATTAAATCTCTCTTATTAAAGTCATTTCTGAAAATAGAAATATAAAGAAACCTTGTTAACTTATATCAAAGCTAATATAACCTTTGTGACAGCTTTTGGTTAATCCACTCTGGTTAAGATTTTCTGTTACTTACAAGTGGACACTTATGTAACTAATAAGGGGGCTATAAAATTTTCGAAATCAGGAAAAAAAAAAAAGACAAATTAAACAGTTATTTTCCATGAGCTTGGATTAAAAGAGTCAATGTGATTTTTTTTTAATGCCAGTTTTCTGCAAGTTAACTTACTAGTTTAATGCAATTATAATAAAAATTACAAAGAAGTTTTTCCAAAGGAATTAATAAAGTGATTTATATGTTTTCTTAAATAAGTTGAAAAATAAAGAAGTTTCTAAAAAGAAGAGTTACACAGATCTGATTTATTCCATCAATGTTTAGTACATATTCTAATAATATTTCAGCTAAGAATGAGAAAATGGAACTGAATATGAAGGCCAAAGCAGTCCAGCGTGTAACAACACCAGTTCTGAGCTAATAATGCTAGCCCTCCAACCAGAGGGAAATGAAGAAATGAGCATCTAGTAAAAGTCCTAGCCATCTTGTTAACTATTTGAAAAAAAATTAAGTTATGCTGCTTGTCTTATACACACACAAAATCCAGTGTATGCTTGATAACATCCATTCACCAAATATTTAACACTATCTGCCAAGGTCTGTGCAAAGACTGAGGATACAGTAGTGAGTAAAAACAGAGGAGCTTAGAGTCTACTAGGAAGATACATAATAGGCCAAAAGTAGGACTGAGATGTCAGTCTGAAGTGCTTTGCCCAAATAATATAACATGTACTTTTGCTTGAAATAATGTAATTAAGAGAACACTGTAATATGAGACTGTTCAGATTCCAATACAATATGATTATCCACCTCCACCCCAGGTTTTGTGCGTAATCTTATGAAAAATGTCTGGTGCTATATAGTAGTTAGGCGTTTATGTTATTCATGTAAAGACACTTAAAACTGTGACAAAGGCACTGTATGAGATACAGATGCTGTGTAAGAGTGCCATGTAGTTGATATTCAGTGACAATCTCCTGAATATATTCATGTTAAATATAAAACAAAGGCCCTGGACGGTTTGGCTCAGCGGTTAGAGCATTGGCCTGTGGTCTGGAGGGCCCTGGGGTTCAGTTCCTGCTGGGGGGCACGTGCCTCGGATGCAGTTTGTCCCCGGCCCTGGTTGGGTTGTGTGGGTGGCGACCACTCAATGTGTCCCTTTCACGTCGATGTTTCTCTCTCTCTCTCCCTCCCACTCTATCTGAACAAAATATCGAAAAATGTCCTCGGGTGAGGATAAAATATATATATATATATATATATATGTAAAACAAAAGAAAATCAATGAATTAGAAGTGAAATGACGTGTTGTTTGTTCTTGAGGTAGGGACAAACCTCCAATTCTTAAAAATCAAAGTTGAAAGAACACTACAGATTTGGTTTTTGGGCTAGAAATTAAATCAGCTATGTGGTATAGAATGGGCCCAGACCACGCAGTGGATACAACAAGGTCGCAACACTTTCTGTAGAAGGTTGGATAGCAAATAATTAGGATTTTCAGACCACATCGTCTCGGTAACAATACTCAACTCTGCAGAGGTTGCATGAAAGCAGCCACAAACAATAAATAAATGGATATTCACGGCTGTGTTTGAATAAAACTTTATTTACAAAAAAGGGCAGTGGGTTAGAGTTGGCTGATGGATCATAGTCTGCTGACCCCTTATAGATCACTAAGTCCTTGGCTCAATTCAGAAAATGAAGGCTATGACTTTCCATATACCATTTCTGCTTTTCAGACTTTAGCTTCCATAAAAGAATGAGGACTCTACTTCCAGCTCGATTATCTACCAAAGAGCAGGGGCCACACTCACCCGGCGACATGAAAGTGTCATACGATAGGCTTTTGCCAGGGTATACTACCTTGACTTTACTGCCGCAAAGTTGGATTGGGACTTAACATTCAAGTACGATTTCTTAAAGAATAAGATCCATCTACTCCTCTAGATAAACTTTATTTTGGGGCCAACTCAGAGCCACAGAGAAACAGGCACCAAGATCACACCTATTCCTTCCATTCAGCCACTTCCTGTGGAAGAACTTTCTTTTTTTACAGTGCTCTTTGGTTTGAAGATACCAGTTAATCAAGAAAGCCTCGGCCTGGCCGGTTTGGCTCAGCAGTTAGAGCGTCCACCTGCGGTCCGGAGAGACCCGGGTTCGGTTCCCGCTAAGGGCACGTACCTCGGTTGCAGTTTGTCCCCGGCCCTGGTTGGTCGTGCGGGTGGCAGCCACTCGATGTGTCTCTTTCACGTCGATGTTTCTCTCTCTCTCTCTTCCTCCCACTCTATCTCAACAAAATATTGAAAAATGTCCTCGGGTGAGGATTAAAAAAAAAAAGAAAGCCTCTATAAGAAGTGGTCCTAAGATGGGCATTGCTGTAAGGGAGTTCTGAGTTTTGTGATCATTATATAACAGTGTACTTCATTATACTGAGACATTCATCTCTGATTTAGAAGTAGGAATACTTATAAATTATCTGAAAAACCTATGTATTTTGCCTCAAGGACTCTGTGAACTACATAAATGGAAATGGCTCCACCTGACAAATAGTAGGTGAAAGCGAAATGAGCACTCTCAACACATACATGCACTCTATGTCAACAAGAAAAGCTATTCTGGTTGCAACTTGGCATTAAGTATCACAAGTCCCCAAAATATTTTATTATTTGATTTAATAATTCCAGTGTAAGAAATTATCCTAAAGACAAGTACACGGTATTTACTGCAGTATTACTTCTAATAATAATAATTGTAAGAAGACCTGAAAACAAAGAAAATGTTCCCAAACAAGGAATCAAGAAGATAAATCATGAAAGTTCTGTAAGATGAAACAGCGAAGAAGCATCACTTATGGAAGAACATTTGGTGACATGGGAAATCCTAATACTACAAATTTAAATATAAAGAGTGGGCATTTAACACAAGTATATATTATGCAACCCCAAATACCACAATATTAGGATGAATGCTTTTTTGGTATTTACACAATTCTGTGTTTTCCAAAACTCTATAATAAATTTGTTTATGTAAAAATAAAAACTTATGCCTGGCTGGTGTGGCTCAGTGACTGAGCATCGACCCATGCACCAAGAGGTTGCTGGTTTGATTCCTGGACAGGGCACAGGCCCAGGTTGTGGGCCAATCCCCAGGGGGGCACATGCAGGAGGTGGCCAATCGATGTCGTCTCTCATCAATGTTTTTATCTCTCTCTCCCTCTCCCTTCCTCTCTCTTTCAAATCAATAAAGAAAAAAAATGTTTAATAAAAATAAAAACTTATTGTTGAAAAGTATATTCATTTACTGGTCCCCAAAACGTAAATTTGTCTTAGGAATTAAAAAAGTAATTCAACACATTAGGCACATGAAGCATGACATCAGAACGTATAAACTTGACCTATTTGTGATGCATCAAAATTAAAAATTATAAATGAAAATTAGAAATTACAAATAAAATTAGAAAACATAAATCTGCAATTATCAACCTTGTTTTTCATGTATAGGACAACATTTTTTTCCCCAAGTTTTCAAAGTCCCTAAGAGACTTAAAATCACAGAACAGTGGTTTTTAAGCCTCAGTGCTTCAGGGTTATTGTGGGGACGAAAATAATACCACACTGGTCTACAACAATGGAGGATGTTCCCAAACAATGAAGAATAAACTGTCTGCAGACCCAATCATCACTGTTTCCCTTTCCTGTGGTGGGGTTTCCTGTAGTTAATGTGGAAGAAGGTTGTACGGTCAGGTCATCTGCACCTGCCCCTCAGGGTCCATTCTTGGCCTTTTCTGACAGCACCTGCCTGGAGAGCTCTGACCTCAGATTTCCAGACTGCATCTCCCAGACCCCCCTGCCTGCCTGGGACCAGGGGAGGAAGCAGCAGGATCAGAGAGCGGTCTGGGTATATATCACCCTTGCCCGCCAGACGTAGCTGCAGACAGACGCTGAATGGCCCTCCTTCAGAAAAGGTCATCTCCCTCTTTACTATGAAGGCAAAAGATGGAACAGCTTCATCGTGCCTTGGTAGTTCTATTAACTCTGTTCAAAGTGCATTCACTAAACTTTCTTCAATTAAACCGTTTGGTTATGTCATCTGATTACTGTTGGGACCTTGTCTAATTTAGGAAAAGAAAAAAAAATTTTTTACAAACCACTGCCTTAGAGGAAAGCTTATCATCAGGTCCCAAAACTTCTATAACACTGAAAAAATATAACCTGTACTTATCATGAAAACTGCACATTTACGCTACAGCCTGAAATTATAGAACAGACAAGTTGTAAGCTGTCACTATGACAAATACCAAGCATTTAAATGAATGATTGTGGAATGAGATCCACTTGAATTTTACCTTGAAATTCAGTGAGATTCAAGACAATCCTTCATGAAAGCCTCTATTTTGAAAACTGATTAATCTTAGTACATTTTTCAAACAAAAATATATACTTAATAATAAAATGGACGGGTATAGAGAAATAGTTTGCGGATCAGCAGCTCACCTCTTTGAACTTGTGGCTGAGCTTGGTGGTGTCCAGGTCTGACGGGGAAAACATGTCCTCGTTCTCAGGCAGCTCGAAGACCTCAATGGCCATGTCACTGCCGGGCAGGGCGGGTCCTACCTCGTCCTCCTCTTCATCTGTGGCATATTCTCCTGTCTGAAAGGAAGGGGATTTCAGAAATCTAGCTGTGCTCGCCCCGGGTGCAGAAGGGTTATTTGAAAGTATTTTATAACAGAGAAAGAGAACATCACCAAGTGGTAAAAGTGTAGTACGTGTTTAAGTCCAGCATGCCTCATGCAGTCAATGTTATAAACAAATGTTAGTTCCGAGACTCAAAGGGACATGTCTACACCATGTGTGAGTGCATCTCTGAAAGTCTAACAGCCTCAGCAGCACCTTTAGTACAGCAACAGAAGTTGTTTTTAACTGAAGTATTTGATGGCTTTATTAAATAAATTTTGTTGCTAAGGGAAATAAGTCCTTTAAATTCTCACTGCCTGTGTGAGTAAGTCACCGGATACTAAGAGCAGGGAAGAAGGAAGGGGAAATCAAAAGATTCACAGAGTTGGAAAGGACTTTAATTAAGCCTTACACAAGTTCAGGAGATGAATTCACATAAGCTTTATGATTCAATCAAGTCTGTTTTATTTCTTTACCTAACGTGGTTAGGTGACCTAATGGATAATCCAAATCTAAAGGTTTCTAAATTTACAGTCTACATACGGATATTGTTTTGCTGGCAGAGTACTTTGATAAATCTTAGTGTTTCATCATCATTAAAAAAGAATCACATAACATTCCAGATTTCCAGTTTTTCTTAAGAAAGCCAACTATCTGGCAATATCAGCACACTGTGACATGATAACAATTGGCCAGCGTCAGCAGCAGGTGCCCCTTTGGCTGGGTCACACACTCTCCATGCACCACAATTTCTATAACTCCATACCATTCTATGCCACTAGCCTCCCTCCTTCATGATACCCGCAGGCCCCTGAAGGTATCTGACTTCATGACCTCTAGAATAAATGTTCCTCCTCACCACTAGCTTCCTTAACATTATTCAAAGGTTGCTCTGCTCCTGGCAACATCAGACAATGAGACGCTGATTCAAAACAACTGTTTGAAATCTATATCTTATAACTAAAGATACATCACTGATTCACAGGTTTGAACAACAAAGTTCACTTGATTCATATTTGTTCTTCAGGTAGTTATATCTAACATAAAATAGACAGGAATTCATACTGCCTTTAAAAACCTTTCGTAAACTGTGTACCGAGTGATCTAGTCCTTTGATTGAGTAGGTTTAGCTTCTGATTGCTGTTTTGTTTTGTGTTTTTCCTTCTGGTTCTGTACTACGTTCTTGCTAAGGCTGAAACTATTTCTTTTACTATGTCTGCATGTGAAGGAAATATGGTCATTAACCTCAGTGTAGTTATTCCTCCTGTCTGGAAGACCATTATTAAATTGCCATTCTGACTTCTCCTTTCCAAGTAAAACAATTCTGGATTTCTCATAAGTCTCATTCTCTGTGATGGTCTTTGAACTTGTATTCTGCTTCTCTTCAAGTTCTCCACATTTCTCTTAAGCCATGGAGCCCAGAACTAGACACAGTTTCTAGTAAGGAATCTGAGGACCATTGAACATGATGAGCAAACTGCCTTGGCCTCCTTCAGACTCCACTTCTCACCCGGAAGTTATCGGAAGAAACTGACTTGGGTGGCATTTGTGTATAAAAGTACCTGGATGTCTAGGACTCTTCAGAAACCAGTTTGAAAAATGTCTAAGCTATAAATACCATTCAATGCCCAGCTGGTGTGGCTCAGTGGTGGAGCGTCGACCCATGCACCAAGAGGTCACCGGTTCGATTCCGGGTCAGGGCACATGCCCAGGTTGTGGGCCCGATCCCCAGTGGGGAGCATGCAGGAGGCGGCCAGTTGATGTTCTCTCTCATCAATGTTTCTATCTCTCTCTCCCTCTCCCTCTCCCTCTAAAATCAACAAAGGAAAAGAAAATTTAAATACCATTCTAAGTGTCCCTGGCACTGGCCCGGGAAGGTGGCTGAAGAGCGGGGGCCTGGCTTCCACTTGTTGGTATAATTAGAGCCTATAAATCTTAAAAGAACTCTAATTCCAGATTTGATATGTTTTTCTGTGATTTTCTGTAAACTAATTCATCTCTAATTTATCTATCTATCTATCTATCTATCTTTAGAACCAATACATATTTTGTAAACTAGCTGATGTGAATCAGTAGGAATGGAGCAGGGCTGGTCCTTCCACGATCTCAAGATACCTCGCTGACAGTTTTGATTTTGCTTGTTTTTAATCCTATAATTATAAATAGCAGCACAGCTATACTTTTATTATGAAGGCCTAAACCAGGTATATAAAATTTACTTCTATATCATGAATTTGATGAATATCATGAATGACTCAATAAAATCTTAAGCTTAATTTAAAGTCTGACACTGATGTGGCACATTTTAAACATACAATTGGATTTCCCTTTGCCAGCTTGAAAATAGATTTCTCCTTCACTATGTGCAAGGTAATGAATATAAATACTCAATCTTGATGTGTCCAGGATCTCAACAAATATTTTTAAAGGAATAAATCCAAGAATGCCAATTGCATTTACTTGGTAATATCTATAACCTCCTTAGCAGGTTTTCAGTAATATCAAGAAAATGCACTGCAAAGTCATCTGTTAGAAAGGAGTATTTTGTCACATTTATTTTCTAATATTCCTTATACTGAATAACAGGATTAAGTTATACACAATATATGCAATTCTTTTTTTTTTATCCTCACCCGAGGATATTTTTCCATTTTTTGTACAGATAGAGTGGGAGGGAGAGAGAGGAAGGGAGAGAGAGTGAGAAACATCGACGTGAAGGGACACATCGAGTGGCTGCCACCCACACGACCAACCAGGGCCGGGGACAAACTGCAACCAAAGTACGTGCCCTTAGCGGGAACCGAACCCGGGTCTCTCCGGACCGCAGGCCAACGCTCTAACCGCTGAGCCAAACCGGCCAGGGCTGCAATTCTTACCTCTAAGTATAACTCTGGCTTTGTCATCCATTTTAGTTATCAAAATTATCTTCATAAATGTAAGTTATTAAGAAGTCTTCCTTTTGATTCTTTTATTTTTGGCTTCGCCAGTTTCTTGTCTCACCCAAATTACCTGAAATTCTGCTAAAATTCTTTTTATTTTTCATTTCATCTTTTTATTTACTAATGTTACTCTTTCTAATTAGTCTTACAAGCATGCTGAGGACAAGACACATATTTTACTTGATTATATTTACTACTTATCAGAGGCTCTGGACAGGTTGTTTAAAAATGGACGTTGCCATTGTCTCTCAAGGACCAGTTACCATTCCTGTCCTATACAGGCTTTAAAATCAAGGGTGCAGCCCTGGAATGTTTGGCTCAGCGGTTGGAGCATCGGCCTGCGGACCAGAGAGTCCCGGGTTCAGTTTCTGCTAGGAGCACGTACCCCCCCGCCCCCCCTCAAAAAAATTAGAATCAAGGGTTCATATACTACAGAACCTCATAAACATCTAGAAGTTAAAAGGTTACATTTAGTAGACTAAGAATAATGTGTTCTTCTGATTCTTTTATCTTTATTGAAAATGGACATTACTTTTATGGTTAATCTTCAAGTAAAACAAGTTCCATGAAATAATATGCTAGCAGAATTCCATAAACCTCAAAATTAGATTGGACTGAATCTGACATTCAGAGCATGATGCACACAAAAAAAAAACAAACCAAAAAACAAACAAACAAAAAAAAACACCAATTGCTACAACAAAGTATTTCCACTGGTATTCAGTTCCTTATCTTTCTTTCTGGCCAGATTCAACATCTTTCGTAAACAGAGACTCTTGAAAGTTCTTTGTCCCAACCTGCAAATCTACTTTAAATGAGGCAAGACTAGTTCTTCGTGTATGGACTGACAGAGATAGTAAATAAATGTTCCTTTACATCTCCTTCTCTGCCTTCTTAATTAAGATCTTGTAAGATTTTAGCCCCCAAAGGGGGACAAAAAGTGAGTAACAATTATTTCATAACTTACTGTGTACCTGACACTGTATATTTCATAAAAACTGTATGACATAGTTATTACTATGCCATCTTAATTTGAGGAAACTGAGACTCAGAAACTGTAACCAAAGTCAGACACTTAGTTATGTTCTTGAAGCTACATCTAATATATTCCACGCTCTTTTTTCTATGCTATGCTGCTTGTGGTCTACATTAACTAAAGCTTTGCAGATAAAGAAACAAACAAACAGAAATACATTCCTTTCATATCTCCCCAACCAAAACCCTAGTGCATAATCCTGTTGTGTTGAGATTTCCCTTCCACGTCTTTGAACATTATCATTCAATTCACTTTGAAGATCTGAAGAGTGTCTCTAGTGACCTCCAAAGTCCTTATCCTCCTCTTTTCTCTCTTAACATGCTCACCCTGGGCAAGTGCAGAGAAACCTCCTTCAAAAGATTTGGCTTATGGGTCAGCTGACTGATGTTTTATGCACTTTTTCTTATATAAACCAGAACCACAGTATACAATCTGTAGAATCACTGCAGAATCTTAAAATGGACGATCACAATATTTGTAATGCAAAATGAGTGCAAAATTCCACTAGATGTCTGTGGTTTGTATCTTTTCCATGTCCTTCTCACGTCAGATTTTCTTGACCTACCCATCTTGATGGGGTCTTCCCTAAGCATTTTATCTCCTTTGCACAGATAAAACTTCCTTTATATTCATATTACATCACAGCACTTAATATGTTATTAAAATACATGATTACAGCAATAAATAGAGCTGTTTTGCTTCTTAGTAAATACATAACTTCTGACTGGTGGGAGCAGAAGCATGCAGACATACTAGAGCCTTGAACACCCAGGAGAGCTGTAGTTCTCAGCCTCGGTTGTACAGAAGGAACAGGCAGATCTGTTATGTTGGTGAGTTGGTTCAGTGAAGACCAATGAAAGAATCTTAGTTTAAAGTCACCAGGGCCTATGTTCAAATCCTGGCTCCGCAGTAACAAGACTTCATGAGATGAAATTGGATGGCTCCTGTGAGGTGTTTCCCACAAAGTCTGGCCGTAGGAGGTGCTCAAACAAGCAATCTCT